TGCTCCTGACTCCTCACGGGCCCCCAGTGCTCCTGACTCACAGGCCCCCGGTGCTCCTGACTCCTCACAGGCCGCCGGTGCTCCTGACTCCTCACAGGCCCCCGGTGCTCCCGACTCACAGGCTGCCGGTGCTCCTGACTCCTCACGGGCCCCCGGTGCTCCTGACTCACGGGCCCTCATCTTCCCTGCCAGTGTTCTGGGTCCATTTGGTGACGTTCCCTCCAGCAGCAGCTCCAGGATAGGGCCCAGGTGAAGAAATGCTCCTGCTGCCGATGTCGTCAGAGCATAGGCCCATCAGTGGAGGAGACAAGCCCAAGGCCCCAGATTGTGTTTCAGTCACATTGACTCAATCATTAGCAAGCACAGGAGAACGTCAGGGTGCAGAAGCTCAGAATACCTCTGGGCCTCCTGGCCCAGCTTTAGGCTGGGTTTGTGGGGCAGTTGCTGTGCTACAGCAATTTCTCTCTCTCCTCTCCTGTTCATGCTGTGGAAGCATCGATACTTCAAGTCAGACTTCGTTAAGAGGAGAAGCAAACATCTGTCCAGGATGAAGAGTCTGCAGTTCATCCTCTGCCACACACGTTCAGGTGGGGGAGCTGCGCCTGAGGGCAGGGCTGCTTCTTCAGTGCGTCCAGACTTCAGGCAGCAGGGGTCTTACAGAAAGCTCTTCCCGGCAGAGGAGGGAGAAGCACAGAGGTCCCAGGGACCTCCATTCTGAAGTCACCATTAGGTGACCTGAGCCCCGACATCTGATTCTTTCTTTAGTAGCTCCTCACCCTGCCTTTCTCAAGTGAAAGCAGCGTGTCTTCCACCTGAAGTTGAATGTTTCTGTAGCTTACAAATTCAGATTCTTCTCACCCTTCTTCACGTGTAGCCTACTGACGTGGCCAAGGACTGCGTACAGCATTCCCCTCCTCTCTGTGCTTGCAAATGTGAATTCCACGAGTCCACGAGCAGCTTGTGCAGGTCATTAAGCACCCCTTGCCACTCAACCTGCTACTTTGCATTGCTTTCTTTCACAAGCCGTGCACTTGGGTTTGTGTGCAGCCAATGTGAGGCTGTGTTTTCTAGCTTCGAGAGAGGAGTTGGTGCATTAGGTTCCACTCTCAGCACTTCTTCAAAGTTCTTTCTTTTTTAAATGTATCTTTGATCTCCCCTTACATTCCAAGGTTTTTGAAATTGTCTTGCATTTTGGTGTTAAATTATTCAAATTCTTTCAACATTAAGAAGCTTCTCTTTCCAAAGAATGAGCGTTATTTGCATTAACTTGGGTTCCACAAACATGTACAACTATTTAACATAGCTCTACGCAGTAACAGCCTTAGTACCTGTCATTATTCCGGTGCAGTGTTGTTCCTCGTGGCACTTGTAGGCCCCGAGCAGGCCACCAGACTCCTTCCTGGGCACATCCTCACAGCCCGGAAGCATCATCTCCCTCCTGCAGGTGCCAGGGTGCCCTCCCTGCACGCAATCTGGTGGCTTTTACTATCTTCCAGTAAGTCCTCAAATTTTCTGGTAAGTCAATAGTTGTTTTAAAATTCGTGCTTCACATAAAGATGCTTCTCCATTTGGGGTCATTTTTTTGGGATTGTGGAAAGAAAAGGGCAACTCTCAGAAGCACAAGCACCTGGGCACTCCTGTGAGTCTCAGAGCTTTCCCACATCCCAGCCAGATCAGTCTCGAGTCTAAAAGCCTAACCCCAGCATTTAAAACATTGAGATGCTTGAGGGTCAAGAGACATTTACTCCACACCAATGGGAACAAGGTCTTGGAGTTCACTGGTTGTGGATCCCATGTATACGATACAGCCTCTAATAAACCAACAAGGACATTTCCATGATTTCAAGTTACAAGATTCCATTTTTTAATTTTCAAAAGAATGTTATGCTTTCTAAATTGGTCCAATGAGTTAAGCACACCCAAATAGCAAGAGAAAAGTAATGCCTGTTTTATATGCAATAATCATCTGAAGTGGAAACTAGATTATTGAGTTACCTCTTTTTACCTGAATTTATCTTCTTTAATAAAAACAGTGGTATCTTTGCATGGCTATTGTCCCAGCTGTTCAGGAGGCTAAGGTAGGAGGATCACTTGAGCCCATGAATTTCAGATCAGCAGTATAGTGATACCTCATCTTAAAACAAGAAGGCAAAACAAAACAAAAACAGTGGAATCTGAGATGTGAAAAGACACTTCAGTTGGAAAGTGCTGAAGTGCTACAGAGAGGCAATTTTTTTTTGGTTCCATTTCTCAGTCATCTTTTGTCATCTCTTTCATCACAGCTGTGGCATGCCATAACTATGGATCTGCAAAGCACCTTTTGCATAGAAGGGAAACAGGCCCACAGTGATAGAGGATGTGAGTCACAGGCACACAGCCAACTAGCAGCAGGACCAGAATGGCAGACACCACGTGACAGATTCTAGAACTGACCTCCACAGCAGCCCCTGGCTTGCAGCTGCAGAGATCTGAAGCAAACAGAGTCACACTTGCAGGACCATCCCAGGTTGGGAAAAAAGGTAAACAGCCTGACCATCCACTCCACACATGTGGCTGTATAGCTTCTGTGCCCCAGAAGCTGGACTGATACTGATACTGGGGCCACCTCAGAAGCACAGGCACCTGGGCACTCCTGTGAGTCTCAGAGCTTTCCCAGCCAGCAGCACATCCCAAAGCCTAAAGGCTCTGAGAACTTTGTCAGGTTTATCTCTCTGTTACTGCCCACAGGAGAATGAATGACAGGCCAACATCTCATTGTTAAGATTGGTATAGCAATAACACACAGTAAACCTATGTCCTGTCGTCTAGATAAAACATCAGGATCTCCGCCTCGATCAATCACATCACTTAGACAAGGACAGAGAAAACGTCGTTGCCATGTGCGGTGTTCCTCTGAGCATGGGAAGCAGGTTGACTGTTGAATGCTGGCCTTCGAGTTACCAGAGAGAGAGAACTAGACCAGCTCCCACGCAGACCAGAACTATGGAGTCCAGGATCTGGAGGCCATCTGAGCTTCTAGAGGCCTCTGATCACAAGCCTCCCTGGAAACAAGGCTTCTCCGTCGGCATCCTGCTCCCATTGTGGAATCTGTCATAGACGAGCCACTCTCTCTCCATCTTGATACCCCCCATCAGACTGTGAACCCCTTAGTACAGGGGGAGGGTTTCCTGTTCATTTTCACTTTTTTATTATGGCAAA